ATATATTATTAGTTGTATGCAGTAAGTAAAATGTAAATTTATTTTATGTATTTGTTGTATGTATTTTATATAATATTTTATATGAAATATATATTTTCTGCAGATTTATAATCTTAATATGAATAGAATATTTTATCTTTTAATAATTTATCCTAAAGTAATCCCAGACAAGCAGACTTCCAAGGGACGTTCTAAAGACATCACTATATCTTAAGAACATGCTGAAAAATTCTAAAGATGTCCATTGCAAATTGGTGTTGTCTTGAGTATATTATAATATTTGTTTTACTTAAAAATTCACGTTAAATCTTTCTTTTTTCACGAGTTTAGTGAAGGTATTCATCTTTCACGAGTTCATTACAAAATTTTCACTTTTCACGAGTTCACACTAGGGGAAAAGATTCATGATCGCTACCCTAATACACTTTTTATACTTGATCCCAAGCAAGAGTGAAAAGTGTATCAGAATTGTATTTACATCATCGACATATAGAATGGAATGCAAAATGAAGTGGTGAGGGTAGGAATTAGAGATGCCCGATTCTTAATCGATTCGATTCTTTCCCTAACAAATTTAAGGAAAAAAGGTTGTTTGTGCTGCTTGCATGTTTCATATTGTTTGCTTTTAAAAAAAAATGGACGCCTAATTAGACACCCCGTATAGAAATATCATACTAAGAATCATTGATAATTACTTATTATCCAGTGTTTTTAATACTGAAAATAAGTAATTATTAATGATTCTTAGTATGATATTTCTATAAGGGGTTTGGAAGAAAAAATCGAGTTGGTTGTCTCGCTTTTGCTTCTTCCAAACATTCCAATACACTTTTGTCTGGTTTTAAATACGAAAAGTGCGAAGAATGCAAACAACACGAATAAACTTGTTTTTGGGGAAAGAATTGAATCGATTTAGAATCGGGCATCTCTAGTAGGAATAGATGTAGAGTGAGAGGCAGACAATAGTAGGGGAGCGTCCCGATTGACCACGATACGACTAAACACAACCAACCGATGAAAAGAATTATCTGGTGAATTACTAGGTCGAACCAATCATTACAATCTTTGTCCAATCGTATCGTGGTCAATCGGGTCCCACCCTAATAGTAGGATGCCTTCCGTCTCTTTTCCAAGTAGGAGCGTAGCGCATCGTAACAGAATCTTAATCATACTGATAATTTATAATAAATGTTTCAAATAATTACATGTGATTTCAGTTTAGTGTAACATTTTTAATATTGAAAAAATATTACTGTTTTATAAATAATAACATTTTATTAGTATTAAAATGAGAATAAGTATGAGAATAAGTATATATGTAAATAGGTAGGTAGGAAAAGAAATACAACTCGATATTATGGCTGTGTTCCAAAATTGATTACCAGCGCTGGCAGCACTGTAAATGTCGTTCCAAAATTCATCATAGCACGCTGCGGCAGAGTGCTGCAGGAGACTAATGACGTCATTAATTTGACTTATGACGTCATTAATTTTGTCGTCACTTCCTGCTGTGGCTACTGCGGCTATGGCTGCGTTCCAAAATTAACTGCCAGTACTGAAAGTATGATGTCATAAAGTAGAACTGCGGATCCGTTCCGTAATTACTGATGCTGCTTTTCAGCTTGTAATGCAATCAATAACGGAACGGACTCGCAGTAGAAATATTCAGTATTGTGGAGGTTAAGATAAACAAGTTTCATAGATAATTATGGATCAAACATAGCGTGATATGGAGATTGTGATTTTAACAAAAGTTGTAAAATATGTAATAGAATCTTCTGAAAGTTCTTCAGATAGCGAAGAAGATGATATATTTTTAAGGACTCTTAATAGAAATTTGACTCCACGTTTTCGTTGCAAGGACTATGTTGAAAGTGTTATACCATTGTATACAGACGAGGAATTTCAAATGCACTTTCGGTACAGAAAACAATATACAATTTTTACCTAATGTACATCAAACGCATGTAAAAGAAATATGATAAAATGTGCCATTGATTATTAAAAAAAAAAAGTAATATCAAGAAAATGGAATTTATTGTTTCAGACTTAAACGAAGTACTTTTCAATTCTTATTTAAATTATTAAATCCTAAATTAAATAAACAAAATAAAATAAAAATAAAATAATTATAAAAGTAAAATAATTATTGATTATTACAAACTTATACCTGTACGTGCTTTTTCAGCATCTTCACGACTAACTGTTACACTATATATTTTATTACTTTCTGAACATATGAGGCTTAACGTCTCATCACAGAGCGCCGCCATTTTTTCACTGCTGGTGTCTTACCTCGCCAGCCGCAGTAACGAAAGCAGGAAATTACGTCAAAATATATGACGTCACGTATTAACGAAAGTACATTGAAAGTTTACTGCGACGTATTTCGGAACGACTTTGCAGTACTGCAAGTACTGACAGTGAGTTTCGGAACGCAGCCTATAGAGGTAAGCCAGCTACAGCATGATGGCGAGTACAATACGAAACATGGAATCGGAAAAATTAACTTTAATTGATGCGGAAAGTAATGTTGAATATTCAATAATTGTGTCGTTAGAAGTCGCCGAGAAAGTAAGAAATGGTATGTACATTTATAATTTTTAAAAATATCTACATAGAAATTGACATAACCTATATATTATTAATTACTAATTAATTGTATATTAATTTAATATTTATTTATTGTTCTTACCTTATTTGTAAATATTAACAGATCACAAATTTGCATACGCCTTATTAGAAGAAGCAAAAAGGAAGAAGCAAAAAGAAAATCCTATGGAAGTAAATCGAAAGAAAAGAGTTATATCAAAATCAGGTAAAATTATATTCATGTTTATTATTGATTTATTTGTGATTGGAAAATTTATTCCTAAATATTATAAAAAGTTTAATTAAAAATATTTCTCTGAATCTAATATTAAATTAATATTTTATAGAAAATACAGACATGGATGTAATTGCTAATATAAACGACCCAAGCTGTAGTGAAAACAAATCAACTTTTGAGTTAAAAGGTAAATTAAAATAAAGATTATTTTTAAGAAAGAACACTAAAATTTTTTCCGTTTGTCTAGATCAACATATATGGACCCGTTCAGAAACAATGCTGCTTATAAATACATATAAAGAACATGGCAAACTTCATTAATCCTAAAATTTCAACAAAACGATGCTGGAGCATATTATCCAAAAAAATGTAACATGCAGGATATTAAATATCTCCTACGAAATGCACAACAAAATTTCAAAGTTTAAAAAGGACATATAAGTCTGTTACAGATCACAATAAAAAATCAGGAAATAGTAGAAAGCAGTGGGAATATTATGAGGTATATTATTTATTAGAATTTTAGAAATCACAATTATTTATCATTAAGACTATAGTGTATTGTTGTTTTGTAATAAATAATTACAAAATAGCAAATTGTAACAATAAATTATTATAAAATAGCAATGCATAATAAATTATTACAAAATCATATAAGAAGTTAAGTAGTGTTATTATTTTTTGACTAGTAACTTTGAATAAAGTGTATTATTATTTTGTAATTATTTATTATTATATCTTTTATAATTATTAATGAAATATATATTATAGAACTAAGAACATCTTTTTTATTTTAGATCATGCACGAGATATTTGATACAAAACCATGGATTGAACCACAAGCAATAGCTGGGTCTAATGTTCCTATTACAAAAACCAATATAGAAAATAATTCAGAAAGTCCAGAAGGTATCATAATTTACTATAAAGTATAATAAAATATAATAAGATATAATAAAATTATGAAATGCAATGATTAGATCTCATTTTATAATATATTTATAAATATATTGAACAAGTCTAGGACTCATTTTGTATAATTTACTTTTTAAAAATGATTAGAATCGTAAAAAAAGTTATATAAAATATGTAAACAATATTAAAATTTTTTTTTATATTTTGTTATCATTTTTATCTCTAATTATTACTTTTTTCGTTGTAGTGCCAAAGAAACGAAAAATTACTAATGTTGTAGAAGATTATTTTGAAAAATCTATACAATTTAAAGAAGAAAAAGAAAAAAGTGCTCAGAAAAGACATGAAGAAAAAATGGCCTATCTAAGAAACATGGAAAACTTAATGACAAAGATGTTTGACAAATAACATATGTATTACCGTTATAAGTTTTAATCTAAACTTAATTTAATTTTACTGTTATATTTTAAATATATTAAATAATCCTATTATTGCTGCGTATTTTAGTTTATTTAAACATATATCCTGTATTACCGAATTTTTTTATTCTGGGGTATATTTGTTTCATGAAATTTCATGATTCATGTAATAAGAATGTGATATTTTTTTGTTTAATTTATTTCATGTGTAATTTTATGTGATGAAATTGTGATTTTTTCTTTAAGTTTATTATAAATAATAGGATTATATATATATATATATATATATATATATATATATATATATATATAATAAAGACTAATTAAAATACAAAAATTATAAAAGAAGTTTGTAAAAAAAATGATATCAGAAAAATAAATATGTTTAATGCATAAATATATTTTTTTATTATATTAATGTTTTACAATGTCTGTGTATTTATATAATAATAACATTATTTCTATTGTACTTTATTAAACGCTGAAAATTTTGTATATTTAAAAGTAAAGAATAATAATGAAAAATATAATAATTTTTCTATAACTTTATTTTCTGCATAACCTTTCTAGATAACTTATTACAAATTAAAATTTTCATTTTGTAAATAATACATTATTGTATTGCGTTTTTCGACACCTTCCTCTCGCAGATCTTGTATTACATTTTGTGGACATTCATTTTGCACAATAACAGGCACATCTATGTAATCATCGTAATTTAAACAAATATTATGTAGAATGCAATATGCAACTATATAGTTCGGTATTAAATCGGTTCTTCTGATAGGCAATGTATCCAAAAAAACTCCGAAATCTTCCTTTCAATAAGCCTATAGCTCTTTCAATTATCATTCTTGCTTGAGATAACTTTGTGTTATATGTAATTTGTGCATTTGTTAAATGTCCGTTGTCTTTAAAAGGAATCATTATAAACTGAATGCTGTATGCTGCGTCGCCTAATAGGCGACTATTTTCAGGAAAGTGTTGTTCTGTGCTGCGACGACTTTTCTTATCGGTACGAGCGGACAGTCGCCTGTCCGCTTCGTCGGCAAATTACCGCGGCTTCCGAATCTCGACTCAAAATTTCGAACGCAAAGTTGGGCGCCAGATGCGGTAAGGCCGCACCTCCTCACCAACTACTTGTCACCAAATGAGACGCGAGAGTCGTTTGTCATTGAATCGGAAATTTCGCGGGACCGGTAGCTCTCTGTTAGTTTGAGTCGGAGGTGGGGTGGGTATTGGGTAAGGTTCGTTACCAATTATAAATCAAGGGGTTCGTTGGTGTAATTACTCTTTATTTCTCCGATACTCGTACGTCCCGGTATGGTCAAATGATGTAATCGGTGAGTGCGATAAACGGTAGTATTTAGCCACGACCGATACAATTTTCGCGAACGGTATGCGACCACCTCTACTCGGGCAAGACGGTCCTATATCGGGACGAGACGACACTACGGTATAAGTCAAGACGAATGGTCAGCCTTACAGATTCGGTGCTCCCCCGCTCGCTATGGCCCGGGTGATGTGTCTGTCAATGACCCTCGCCGGCGGTCGTCTCCGCTGGCGGCAGTGCAGAGCGTCGCCACGTCCTCGACTTGGTCTCCGCCGGTCGCCCCTCGGGCACTTGGATCGAACCGTTTTCGCGAGAATGGCAATCGGTAAGTGATACCTCGGCCACGATCAACGTGTCGCGTGTTTGGCGCAAAAGAGAAGAAGCTCCCGTCTCCTTGATCGCCGGCCTTTTCTCTGTTCTGATTCTCTCTCTCTCTCTCTCTCTCTCTCTCTC